GGAACGTTGCTTTAGGACAGAAGTGTTCCTGATTTGCTTAGCAGATCTCCAGGGTGCTGCCAAGGTGGGGCAAGAAGGAAGGTAGGGGCTGGGGCAACGGACTTGTCACCCTGCCTTCAACCAGAACAGTTTCCCATTTGTCTGTTTTAGCCATTGCTGTCCCTCATAAGGTGCTCTTTACAAAAAGAGATGTGGTCATTCCAACGCACGCAGGTTGGGTCACCCCTGGGCCCCTCAGACTCTGACTTTGCTGGCCCCGAGGTTTACTGGGTACCAAAGAGTGTTGCTTAGCCTTCTGGGCACAGGTGTGCTAGGACTTTCTTTTACTAATGCAGTGACTTCATTCTTGGTGAGAGATGAACCATCACTTTTCTGTCTCATAGAAGAATACTGGGTGTAAGAGCCACCTCCAGCATTTCTTAGTTCTGTGACCCCAGTTCTTGGAAACTGCACTTCCCCCATGTAAAACGGGGAAACTGAGGTTTAATGCTGGTATGTATGACTAGGTGTTCTTCCTAATGTGAGGTGCTTGGGTATCAGCTGTCCTGAGTAGGCAGTTAGTGCTGAGGCAGGCTTGAGGTTTCGAGTGTTATCTCAGATGAGCTGATGGGGTTTCAGGACTTTTCAGATCTGGGCTTACAAATCTTCTAGGTTAGAGAACAGGATGGACTTCTGCCCTTCTTTGAATCCTATGCGAGGCTCAATTTGTCTTTATCATCAATGTTTTAAAATTACAAAATATCGAAAATCTCATAAATCGGCACAGTAGATTGTCTCCGAGTTTCTGAGTGCAGGAGGCAGACTCCCTGGGGGTCACCATCACACAAGCTGTCACATCACTCCACGTGGTGTGTCCATGTGTGGGACGTGGCCAGGGGCTGGAGAGACAGTGCCAACCTCTTCTGTGACTAAGCCTGGAAGATGTGCAGACCACTTGCTGTGAGGACTGTTACGGAGAACAAAGAGGCAACATCTTGGCTGCTGTGGCCTTGGGGAGCTCAGCTCTCTGCAGTGCTGATGTGACTCGATAATGGGAAACGGGAGGAAGAGGGCTGTGGGAACTGAGCCTAGGCTGCCATGGGCCTGACCCCGGAGAATACCACGGGTCCATTACATAACAGGGAGTGGTGGATTGGCCTGGATTTGGGCTGTCTGCCCTGGGACAGGAGCCAGTGCTGGGGTGGGGAGCAGCACAGAAGGGCACACGGCAGAGTCTAGTCTCCATGCCAGAAGCTGCCAGACTAGAGGGAGCGTGTGTGCAGAAGGGATTAGGATGGGGCTCAGGGTTGGGAAGGGTCCACTTAGCACTTGGAGGTGTCCGTGGCCACAGCCCTGAGGGCCTGGGGGTTCTAAGGACCAGCTAAGGCAGGGTACTTGTTTATCTGAAGTGAACACAGCTCAGGGTGCTGCTGAGCAGGTGGGGAAGCAGCCAAGCCCCAGTCCCAGGATCCTAGCCCTGGAGGTCGGTAAGGGGTGCTGCCCAGTCACTGGCCAGCAGGAAGACAGAGTTGGGTTGCAGCAGGGCAAGGTTCCTCTTTTCCCAGGTGGGTCAGTGAGAGACCCCAGGTGCGCCCATGGGCTGCTACCTGCTCAGTCTTCTCTGCAAAGGGCAGGGAGGGCAAGGATTTAGGTTTGTGGGTAGAAGGGGTCACACAGAAAGAGTGGAAGAAGTAGAGAGGAAGCCTCCCCTAGTATGGGACCTCTCATCCACTACCATCTTTCCCAGAAAATAAGACATAGCTGGAAAATAATCAGCCCTGAAAACTAGAGATCAGAAATGCCAACCCCAGTCAGCTTACCCTGGCCTTTCCTGCCATCACTGTTCTCTTGATCAGTGACTACTGTGCAAGGCAGGTAGGGTCTGGAACCTCCTGCCAGAGTGCCTTAGAAGGAAGTTTCCTCTGTACTGGAGCCGGGCTTCTTGTCAGCTTCGAGGCATGCTCATCAGTGAGGAAAGCATTTACCTGAGCACCTACTTTGTGAAGCACATCATTCCAGGAGCCGGGGCTAAATCAGTGAATGCAACAATGATCTCTTCGTCATTAAGTATGCACAGCTCCAGCCTCCCAAGGACTGGGTCTTCCTATATCCATGAATTCATTTGTTCCGTAGGAAACAAAAACTGTTCCTTTTGGGGGAAAAGAAATTAAGAAATACAGAGAAAAAGAAATAAAAGGCACTCATAATTCTACTTGCCAGAGATAATCTCTCTTCATATATTGGCATAATTACAAAAAAAGATTCACGTATGAACACACAGCCTCCTTATTCTTCTGATTGAGTGTAACTCTTAACCTCCTTTGTTGCAGACGATGGAAAGTAAATTTTTGTCAGTTCAGAGTATATTTGTTTACTCCTCACTTAAAACTGAGTTCCTTCCAGGTAACTCCAGGGTCAAGCCAGGGATCCCAACTCTCCACCCCACCTGGCCACTGCGTAGACTTATGGGATTGGGTGTCTGCCCTAGGCCCCTAGTGGTTTCTGCTGGAACTCCGTGCATGTGTAGCCTGAGCTGCCATCCTTACTACATTGTCTGCAGAGGCCTCTGGGTTTCTGACCCACAAAGCTCACCCGCCCGCTCTGTGTCCTGCTGTCTGGAGCTCCCTGGGGCAGCTGGCACCTCTGGGCGAGTCTGGGCTTCTCATGGAGGCCCAAGGCCTCAGGAACTCATCTCAGGTGATTCTTTTTTTCTTTTGTTTTCAGTACTGAGGGTTGAACTAAGGGCCTTTGCACTGAGCTATACTCCCAGCCCTTTTAATTTTAGTTTTATTTTTGAGACAAAGTCTTGCCAAGTTGGGCAAGCTGGGCTTAAACTTGTGATCCTCCTGCCCCAACCTTCCAAAGTTCTGGGATTACAGGTACACACCCCACATCTAGTCCCAGAATCTTTGCCTCAGGGTGCCAGTGAAGGCTGAAGACACTCAAGATGCTCTTTGCTCTCAGAGTCCAAGGAGAAAGTGGGACACAGGTCTGCGAGCTTGTTCCACTGTGTACCACTCATCTCTTGGTGTCAGCTTCAGGAAGGGGCAGAGAGTCCTTTTTGGGTCCCAATCCTTGGCTTTGACCCTTACCTTCCTCCAGCCCATCTCCCTTATCTCCTTCTAGATAAGAAAAAAGCTGTCCAGATATCATTCTGAGTTATTCCCTCATTTATGGTCTATGACATAAACTTTGTGCTTCCTCCAGTCCTGAGGGCTTTTCCTCTTCATAGTAAAACCAAGCTTTTGACATAAAACAAACAAACAAACAAACAAACTAAAAACAAATGCAAATCTATTTGTTTCTACCCAAAGTTAGTGGGTTAAAACAGCATAAAATATCGTCTTACAACTCTGGAGAAGTCTGAAATTGTCTTCCCGGGCTGCGGAGAGTGTTGGCAGGACTGCGTTTCCTCTGGATCCAGCCTCTGGAAGCCACCTGTTCTCTTTGGCTGTGCCCCCTTTCTCTGTCTTCGGAGCCAGCAGTGTGGCTTCCTCGGTTCTCCTCTGAGTCTCCTCTTCTCTCCCCGTTCTTTCTGCTTCAAAGGAGCCTTGGGATTACCCTGGGCCAGTCTGGGCAATCGGGGACAATCCTTTTACTGTGAGGTCAGCTTAATTTCCCCTGGCCACAAAACAACATATTCACAGGTTCATTGGGTTATGATGTGGACATCTTTGGAGAGACCATGATTCTGCCCCTCATACCAAGCAGTGATTCCTTCGTCAAAGGCTGGCTTCATGTGATCAAAGCCCCGGCTTTTAGATGGAAGTCTTCACTACTGATTTAACCAAACTGATTTAGAGATTCCAGAGAAATGATTGTCTTAAACAATTTTTTAATTAAAATGTTTTCTATCATCTGGTATGGATTGAGACATTTTGTTCTTTTCTGAATTGTGGGATTAATATAACTGACAGTGCAAAGTCCAAAGGTATGCTGATGAGAATTTAAAAAAAACCTCATATTTTACTGTTCCAAATTTAGTCTTGGTTTAGGTATGTGGATCAACAATTCAACCTGCTTCTGTGTATCAACGTTACTGGTTTATGAAGCTCGTTTCCATGGCTGCCGCAGCTGGGACCCATGGTATAGCCTCCTGGGCACAGGGACTCCATGTTGACGAGCAAATCAGAAGGGAGCAAAATCCACACCAGGGTCCACACCGGGGTCCCACCGTCATCTTGGGGTGAGGGTGCTGCTGGGAGCTGTCCCACCCTGAGGTGCTGATGGCAGTGGTGTTTCTGGCAACCTGCCACACTGCTTCAGACGATTTTCTAAGGGGTGCTGGTGTGTGTGTGTTGGTGTGTGTGTGTGTGTGTGTGTGTGTGTGTGTGTGTGTGTGTGTGTGTGTGTGTGATGTGACCAGAGTGGGGCTAAGCAGGGCTAGAGCCCGAGATAGCAAGGACATTGTCGCTGGGTAGGAGGCCACTGCAGCAGGGATGTGGAGGGCAAACCCAGAGCCCTGGACCAGGGACCAGGGCCTCCCTTGTGTTCTGGGTGAGCTTGGATCTCTCTGTCAAACAAAACAGGATTTCCCTCCCTCCCATCCAATCTCACTCGGCTACGTCCACAGGACCACCACACTCCTCAGCCATTAAAGGAGGTATTGATCTTCCCCGTTTTCCAGTTCTGTTTTTCTGCTTACTTCATATTCTTTTGCTCTTTTCAGTATCACTCCAGAGATTTATTTAACCCCACAGTCAAACTGGCCATTTGAAATAACAGTATGTCTCATCCAAGTTCAGAAATAAAACCTGGTGCGAATTTGTCAGAAGGAATGCCGAGCAGGGTGGCTCCCCTCTTCGTCTGTCTGTCCTGCCGTGGTGGCAGGGTCACGGCGCCTGCTGCTGTCCTCGTGCATGTGAGCCCCCACCTTCCCCAGAGCCCTGCTGCCCTTCGGGGGACACTGGATGCATTCACCATAGGTTGCCCTGCCCACGTCCTTTGCAGATTTTATGAAAGACGTTTTTTACTTGGATTAAACAGGCACTGTGTTGGTGTGTGGTGTGTGTGAGGGAGAAAATGAATCACTTCAACGCGGGGCTGGGGTGTGAGGTGTTGTGTTTGTCCCAGGCAAGAGCACAAACACCTCAGGACTCATTAGAAATGCCAGGGGCGGGGGCTGTGGCTGGAGCGCATGGGTTCATCCTAGCAGCAGCCTCGCAGCCCATTTTCCATGTATTAGACCTCAGAAAGTGCCGGGCTCTGCCCTCTCAGACTCCAAAGGAAAGTTTGAGGTTTTACATTTCTGTTTGTGGTACAGGAAAAGGCGTACGATCTGAGGGCTTGATTCAGTGAAATAACATTGCCTTCATACACATTTGCTTCGCAAGGAGGGCAGGAGTTGCAAGCAACCGTTGTGAAATGTTAAAGATTTTCTGGCAGAGGGAAAAGGATTTTTTTTCTCTCCCTCCCTGCGGAGGAAAAACAGTTCTAACGAGGAGTTACTTTGTAGTTTTAACTCCCATTCAAATCTGAGCTGCGGTGGACCCCCTACGACATCTGGCTCTGCTTGGTGGGACCCTTCTGGGCTCTCCCTCGCCCTCCAAGCCCTGCACTCATGAGCTCGCAGAGAAGAGTCTTCCCCAGAAGGGAGCCGGGTAAGTGTAGCTTTTTCATCTGTCTCCGGGGATCTTCAGGGAGGGCGGCTGGAGGTTCTGATGGGTTCTGACACCCGCCTGCAGGGTGGAAGAGTGGCTGGGTTACACTGTGCAGGGTGTGAGACTGGGTGTGCACATGTGTGAGTGTGTGTGCACACGTGTGTCCTTGCAGTGGCTGGCTGAGCTCCACCTGGTGTGGCAGAGGGCAAGGGGCATTTCGCAGGACCCCCAGCACAGAGCATGAGGACGAGGCCTTTCTCTGTACCCTCGCTCCTGCTGTGAGTCTTGCCCACCCCTCTGAGCAGGGACGCAGCAGGGAGGTGGCCTCCGCCTTCTAGATGCTGTGGCCATCAGGGACCCTACCAGCTTGCCTGGGTTGCTGCAGATGCAGAACGGAAGAGGGAGCTGCTCAGCTCCTGGAGCAGCTCTGAGTCTGGAGCAGGAGGGACCCTCCCATCCTTGGATCTCAGGCTGGGGAGGGGCCTCGGCTCCCTGGCTTGGACCCCCTGCTTTCCAGCAGGTACAGCCCACTCGATGAGATCATTTCTTATAACAACTTCCTCCTTTTGCTCCGGAAACATAAACAGTCATGGGCAGGGGATTTTAACCCTTTTGCCCAATTTTAACATTGGTGCTGGTGAAACTTCAGTTCTGTTTTAACTTTGGCATGAAGGAGTAACACATGGTTTTCTTTAAAAAGGAAGAAGCCTAGTCAAAAGCAAATTATGACTCCTCCCGCTCCAGGAGGCAATGGCAAGCCCTGGGGGTGGCTAGGTCAGGTTCCATTCAGTCCCTACTGGACTCTGGAGAAAGGCAGCCAAGAGTAGGGCCTGGGGCCCTGCTGTGGGTTTGGCCACCTGGCCTGGGATCTTGGCTCTGAGAGGAGCAGGCTACTCAAGCTTGGAAAAGGTATTTCAATGAATTCCTACCTCACAGGATGGGAGAAGCAGTAAATGACATAAAACTTGTGAAGTACCCTGAGCGGTACATACACAGTTCAGTGAACAAGTGAACTCTGAGAAACAACCATCTCAGACACTCAGGACTTGGAGATGAAAGCTGGAAAGCTCGAGCGTTCTTGTCCAGCAGGAAATGGGCCGGACCCTGGAACGCCCCCTGGGGGTCGAAGACAGGGAAGGATGGATTTACACAGGGGATCTGACCTGTTGTGTAATGGGTGCTCAGTGTTTGGGAGAAGGAGCTTCTCCACTTTCATTCACAGGGAGGTCTGACCACTTCCTGTCCCTGGCTGCCTCGCTTTTGGTTAGGTTTCCTTGGCAACAGACTCAGGCAGAGATTTGTGTATCGGAAGTTCACTGCAGAGTGCTCTGGGAACCCTGTCTTCTAAGGGATGAGGTAAAACTGCACAGAAGGACAGGCTGGGCCTCGGCTGGTCCCGCTGACTCCACAGCTTGTCTCCCTGCACGTGGGCTGCCTCGGGACCTGGCCTGACTCCGGGCAAGGTGGCTGTCTTTGGCTGAAGGCGATGCCAGCAGGACCAGGCTGTGAGCTGTGTGAGCAGCCTTTCTGCTGGCTGTGGTCCTAGAGTGAGAGGCTGACCTGGGTGACAGTTCACAGCACCCACCTGATAAACTGGGCTGACTGCCTTCCTTCTGAGTTCAGCTGTTTAGAAGACTGGGCGCTAAATACTCGGACACCTGACCCGCTGCATCCTTACACGGCAGCATGGTCTTACAAATGTCCCTTTCGGTGTCCGGGTCCCAGCGTCCCTGTGTAGAAAGCGGGTAGAGGGGAATTAGGTAGAAACAACCTTTAGGAACTCTTACCACTCCATGGCATAGGTACTGAGCATGGGGCCAATGTGTTTGACTGTGCCCCCAACTGTAGCTGGGTCCCATGACCATAGGTACCTCAATTCCTTCTGCTGGACAATAAGAATCATGATCTCTGGGGCACCTTGTAAAAGGACCAACTGTTGATATGGAGGAGCTGTGAGCTGGACTGGAGCCACTCAGGAGTGGCTGGGGAGTTCTGCCACCCGCCTTTGTGCACCTCGACATTTCTCTCAGGGAAGAGGACAACCACAGGAGCCACTGCACTAGTCTTTGACAGTTAAGAGCTGTGTGATGTAGCCTGGGGCCAACATGCATGTAGCTGGCTTTATTTTATTACTTTTCTTCCCTTGCCCTTGCCCTTCCTAATTTTCTATTTACTTTTCAATATACAGAGAGAGAAATCACTTTCCTGTACACTTGAAATTCACTTTCAAACAAAGATCTGTTTAGGGCATTCTAGGCTCCAGGTTCTGTGTTGGCTCTGGGGAGTTTGTGGGACCCATTAAACCAGCAATATGCTGGGCAAATATGAAAGACGGAAAGGGACATGGGGTAGGGCTTCTAATCTGTGGGTCCTGGTGGGTTTCCCAGAGGAAGTCCTGCTTGAATGGTTTCCATGGGATGTGAAGTACTCAGGTTGGGGACAGTAGGGAAACGGCCCTGGGCAAGTGGATGGCAAAGTGTCCCACAGGACTGGGAAAGAAACTGTTTTGGATGTATTCCCCTGATCTCACCACTGTGTGCCCTTTTAGAGTGTTTCCAGGTAGGCTGCTTTTCTTGCAGCAACTTTAAGTAAGTAATTCATTAGTTCAAGGAGAATAAAGCTTTCCGCTGGTGGGCAAGACTCCCTTTGGTGGCAAGCTGTCCCCACCGCCCAGGCTGGTGCCCCCCAGTGGTGCACCCTTAGTTGAGGGGCCTGGGGCACATCCTGCGAAGTCCCTCTTCACTAGCCACTCCTCCTCCTGGTCACCCAGTCAGAGCATCTTGCCTTCCCCACCTGGGGAGCGAAGGCCCTTGTCCTGTGTGACAAGTGGCCCAATAGGGGCGCAGGGAGTTTCTAGGGGAAGTTGGGTTGTGGATAACTTCTCCATTCCTGCAGAGTCGTCAGAAACACCATCTCTGAAGCCTAAACCAGAGTTTACTGTTTCCCTCATTATGGACTCTTTAGCCTTCTTTCAATTTTGTTTTTCCCAAAATAAGATGTAGTGATTTTTAAACACACAGGGGAGTGGAAAGGAATGGGCCAACAGGCACATACTCATTGTTTGGAGTCTATAAATAATATTTTACAGTATTCCCTGTTTATACCTATCTCTCAGTTCCTCTAGATGTGTGCACATCTACCTTAATTAGTTCTTAAATTTTTGGCACTGGGGATTGAACTCAGGGCCTTCACACAGAGCCACATTCCCAGACAAGGTCTTGCTAAGTAGGTTGCCATGCTGGGCTCGAACTTGCGATCTCCCTGTCTCAGCCTCTGACAGTGCTAGGATCACAGGTGTGTGTCCCTATAATTTTTGATGAATTCCCATATGTGTTGGCCTCACTACACGTCTGTGTGTGTAGGATGAATTACAGTTCAAACAATTTTCATTTGCTATTCTCTCAGGTAAGATTTACATATGGTGCAGTGCACGTCTTAGGCATACCATCCAGTTAGATTTGGAGAGTATACACACAAGTGTAGCACATGCCCCTAGCAAGACATGAAGCTTCACCAGAGTGCTCTGATGCTCTCGTGCTTTGTTTACGTCGATAATGTATGACATGTCACTACCCACCTGCTCCGAGCTCCCCAGCCCTACCTGCCCAGGCCCTGACTGTGGAGACAGGCCTCCTGTTGGGTTCAGGGGCAGTCAGTGACTGGGTCCCGGGACAAGGGAGCAACTCGAGACAGGGGTTCTTCTGGGCCACACCACCAAAAAGAAGCAAGATAAAGTGGCCTGGGCTGTCCCTGGGCCTGTGGGCAGGTTGCTGCTCTGGGTCTTGACTGTGGGATTAGGAGCAGCAGGTGTGTCACTCAGGAGTTGGACCAGTGTGGCCAGGAGAAGGGTACCCAGGCTCAGCTTGCAATTGCATGTCCTGAGGTGGTGGTTCCCTCTGGGGCTGTCGTTGTGTTTCCCGGGCACATGTGTCCCCAGCTGCCTGCACCACCGAAGCATTATGAGTCACAGGTGGAGAGGGCCCCTCTCAACACAGGCCATCTCCCATGCCCAGCTGTAGCAGAGGGCGCTGTTATTTGTTGAGCCACCCTGTGTGTCAGGCATGGAGATATTTTTATTTCAATCATAATAACCTGTTTTACAAATGAGAAATCCTCTGCTCAGAGATGGGGATGGCTTATCCCAGAGCACAGAACTGCTTAGCAGCATCCCAGGGAAAGGACACAGACGCTGGGCTCCTAGGCCACCGTTCACGTCAGTGTGCGCCCTGCCTCTGGGGGCCACTGTGGATGAGCCAGGCACGGGCCGCTCTGGGTGTCAAAGGCGCTCACAGTTACCGCACAGGGCAATAGAGGAGAGTGGTCAGCGTGCTTGGAGCACAGATGGCAGCTCCTAACTCATGGGCCGATTTGGGATGCGAGAGCCCACTTGGAAGCCCTGTGCTGATGTGTGTAGGTGGAGGAGGCACGGAACATCTGGCGGAACTTCAAGCGTGAGGGAGACCAGTCTGCAATTCCAGCAGGGGTTTAACATTTTTACACTTTGAGTCAGTCACATCATGACAATAAAAAATTAAGAAGGGAAAGAAGGTATTTCTTCATCTTTAAAAATGTTGGTTTCTGGTGTGAGGCAGGAAGCAGCGTTCCCCAGATAACGGTGTGGGCAGAAAGACCAAAAGTGTAAGTGCCTGGCACAGCATGGGCCATCTCGGCCTCCTCCCTTTCCTGGGCTGGACACACATGTGGGCCAGCCGTTTGAGGCATTTATGGAATCCTGTAGGAGCCAGAAAAGAGGGCCTCAGCTGACTCCAGCTCTGTAAACGCAAGACCCAAGCCGTGTGGCGTGGACACCTCCCCTCTTCCCTGGACATGCCTTTCCCTAATACCTGGCCTTTCTCCCTGCCAGCTGGAAAGGCTTGGCTGTCCTTCCTAATCTTGGCCTCAAAGGGGGCATCCCTCAAGCATGACCACTCCCTCCAGGTGATGGGGCCGATGGGAGAGGCAGGGAACCTCCACTTTTGCTGTAAGGACAAGGGCTGCCT